TGGATTGAACCTCATGTCGAGACTGAAACGAAACGGAAAAACAAGACGTGTGGTCACTGTGGTCCTGAAAGAAGGCAGCCCACCATACTTATGTTCACGCATCAGATTCGGGTTGCCCTGTTTGCAATGAGAATGGCGATTGATCTGCTCTTCGGACACATTGAGAGTCACATCTTTCTCCAAACAACTGGCATCATCTGAGCCATGTCCGCGCAAATCAACAAGTTGATGTGTCAAAGCCCCGAACGCCAGAAGTGTTGGGCGACTTGCTGCATGACTCCCTCTTGATCCCTATCCAAGTGGGTAGTTGGGTACAGCCCATTCCCTCCCGGTGGATGATAGTTCGGTTGCTCCTCTTTGATCAACTGCTACTCCTCTCTCCGAGTTCCTTTCGCTCTTCCTTTTCATTCTCAGCAAAAGAGCACTTCCCGTTGCCACTGAGTTCTTTGAATGGCAATGGAATGCCCCCAGATGACCAAATTGGCCCACATCGTCCTCAGAGGGACTAAGAGTCTTGGGGATGCTGGCAGGAGCATCTCCAGAAAAAAAAAAAAAACATACTTTGGTGTCCAGAACTTCCCGTTTTTTTGACTCAAACACTATACCCCACCTGGGAGTACAAGTCCACTACCACAGGGATAGTTCATGCGTCACTTCTAGGGCTTGTGCCAAACACCAAACGGGTGTGTAGTATGCATCGGCATGGGTCGGGAAATACACCAGTCTACCCAGTCAGGGGGTCTCAGGGGGTCTCCCGAACAATGCCCTTTGTGACGTTCGTAGCGACCACCGTTACGGTCGTAGCGATGGCCCTCCAACCTACGACCTACGACCGCGATGGCCAAAAACCGTGCAAAAGCGTCCGGGGGTCTCCCTTTCTATACCACGACCGGACCCATGGCACATCCGTTTTCCTGGTGGATGGGTGCACCAGCGTAGCGTCGTGGAGCAATGACCCCACTTAAGAATCAGCTGGAGCTGTTCGTGCCTTTGCGCCAAAAAAATATCCGCAAAGAGATATGTGATGTGTCATGTGTCTGCATGTTTTGCACTAGCACCACTAAAAACGGGTGGTTTATAAACACCCCTGACTCTGTGTTCAGTGCTTCCCATCCCAAAAACCACCCTTTGGTTGGTGCTGGTATGTGCAACGAGGGGGTCCCGAATCGTCCACCCGTTCCGAGCTTGGGGGCGCACGCTCCACCCCAAAGCCACCGACCGTCCACCCCCTCTGCTTCTCCAAGGGTCCCGCCCCCGCGGCTGGAGGTCTCCAGTTCATAGGCCAACTCCTCCGAGACGTTGGTCTCGTGCGGCACCACGTTGGCCGGCGACATGTTCACGGCGGCGGACATGGTCTCCTTGAAGTGTGGGTAGAACTTCTTCTTGAGCAAGGCCTGTTTTCACGGTTTCTCGTGTTGAACACGAGACGGTTGATGAACCAAACGTGCCGAAGGTGCCTGAAGGGCGTTGTGTTGGGGCGCGTTCGCTCCTTGAGCTTTAGCTCGGGGTGGGCCAAAGAACAAACTTCCTTTTTGCGAAACATGTACCATTTCGATGGAGTCGAAACATAGTGAGACGTACTGGGTAGCATGAAAGCAAACGTTTCAAAAGACATGCATGAATAGTATCATAAGACCTAAAGAGGAGCTCCCGGCATCGAATCTGACCCATATATGTCCCAAACACTCCATGTATTGCATATTTACCTGGGGATGGTGTCAGGGGTCAATGTATGTAAATATGCCATACGCGGAGTGTCTTGGGGTTATATGTATGTGAAACTGCATCATCGTCATCGTCATCATCATCATCATCATCATCATCATCATCATCATCATCATCATCATCATCATCATCCTTGTCGTCGTCGTCATCGTCGTCGTCGTCATCATCATCATCATCATCATCCGTGTCGTCGTCGCCATCGCCATCGCCATCGCCATCGCCGTCGCCGTCGCCGTCGCCGTCGCCGTCGCCGTCGCCGTCGCC